TACTATACTATATATATATAGTATATCTTAAGATGTATATATAGTATATTTTAAGATATATACCATATATATATATATAATATAGTATATATATATTTTAAGATGTATATATAGTATATAAATCGAATATAGCTTATATATCTTTATTACTATTTTTTTTCTCTAACTTCTATAAAAAAAAATTAAAAATACAAAGTTTCTGTTGGGCCCGTTTAGGCCCTTTTGGGCCCGTTTAGGCCCGAGACCGGCCCACTTAACCCGGGACCGTTAGTTCGTGGTCCCGGTCCCAAGCCGGTTCCAGCAATAAGCCCGCGAAGCCCGGGACCATTTAGGACCGGACCGCATAGGACCGGCCCACTTAGGACCGGGCCCGCGAAGTTCACTTAGGACCGGGCCCGGCCCACTTGCCACCCTTATTTTAAATACTTTGAACTAGACTAATAGAACCAGTTTTGAATTAGATTGAACAATTTTGAACTTGTTATTAGTTTTCACTTGGTTTTGTATTGTTATGTTCAATTGAACTTTAATTTATTAGTTTTAAAGTATTAATTGGATGTTTGGTTGTTGTTGTCGTAGTTGTTGGGATTTTAGTTGGATTTGTGATGATTTGGTGGTTGTTAGAGTTGAATTGGGAGTATTGGTATGCTGTTTTGATTTGGCAGGTGGTGTAGCTACCAAAACAGGCATTTTCTGCCAAAATTAAACCCAAAAAAACCTACCAACCTTGGTCGGTTACTAATAAAAAAAATTAAATTGCAGTTTACCGATCAATTTTGGTTGGTTAATGTACAATGAATTTCCAGAATTTAAAATTACCGATCAACTTTGGTCGGTTTTTTGCCTACCTAGTCCAGTTTACCGACCAAAGTTGGTCGGTTTTTTAAAATTTTAATAATTTAAAAAAGAAATATTTTTCAATACCGACCAACTTTGGTTGGTACAAAAAATTAATAAATTTAATACACCGACCAATCTTGGTCGGTTAAGTTAAATTAATAAAATAATATTCCGACCAAGTTTTGTCGGTAATCCTATTAAAGTGTCAAATGGTCGTGTAGAGCATACTGACCAAGGTTGGTCGGTAATTTCCGACCAACTTTGGTTGGTATTCCTTTCCGACCTCTAAAATACCGTTCACACGTAAATGGTCGCGTTTTGGACGGTTATTGGCCATTACCAACCAAAGTTGGTCGGTTTTTTTGGTCGATTTTTATCCGATTTCTAGTAGTGAATGTAACGGTAAACATAAATGCCCAACTCTTTATAATGAGTCGTTACTCTTTAAAGCTGCGGAATATTATTCATTAAATATCACCGGGCGCAGGATGCTTATGGCCTTTACGAACTTGCCTTTCTCGGTGACATATGGGGTAGCTATGCCCGATTTTCCGTCCTCCCGGCTTTGGTTTCACGTGTCCCCTTCTTTGATGACCACGTGACGTAACATATTTTACCCAATACAGAGATGGGGTTAGGGATTCTTTAATTATGTGGCAAGGAAGTCTTAATATGATGCTGGTTTTTGCACTTCCTACTGTTATTCTTAGTTCTACTGTATAAGTGATTGTGATTCCAGTACACAATACTTCTATTCTATTTCATGCCTTATATCACTCTACTATTTTTCTTGCATGTAATGAATGTGACTTCATTTTCATTTCCTCTAACATTTCTTTAATTAGCTTTGAAATTCTTCATCTGTTACATTATGGCCTTTTAATTCTTCATACGAACTTATTGATGGGTCCATCTTATTCAAAAACCAAACTAATAGGCATGTGCCTAAGGAAAATATTTGGTTGAGAATTTCTTTGCTTTGGTAGCCAACTTTGTTGAATTTTTTTGGTTTGGTAGCCAACTTTGATGAATTGCCAACATTGAAGAAAAAGAAGGAAAAGTATGTGCAAATTGTCAAATATAGTAGGCTTTAGAGAGTGAGGCTTCAGCTCTAAAAGGAGAGCTTCGGTTCTCATTTCTACACACCAACAAAGAGAGAAAAAAAGAGCGAGGTTTCACAGACAAGGTATAAGAAAATAGTCTGTAAGAAAAATAAAGAGTGAGTGATACTGTAGTAAGGTGGGAATATCAAAAGAGGGTTATTTCTTTTGAGTGTTGTAGTGGTTTTTAGAGTATTTTACTCGGACCTACAAAGTGTAAAATTCCTTGCTATAGTGATATCAGTTGCTCGTCTCGAAGCCGTGGTTTTTCCCTTATTCAAAAGGGTTTTCCACGTAAAAATCTTGGTGTCGTTGTCACTCTTTTATTCTTGTTAATTACCGTATCTCGATGCTACGTTATTATTCCGTTTTTATTACCGTGAATATTATTTCTGCGCTAGGTTTATTCCCAACACTTGTGTGTTCTCGTGCCTTGGGTTAGTCTTTTCGAAATCAAGGATCTTAACTGCTCCAACTGAGTCAGTTACTGTTGTCATTCTTATTTTCTGAAACATGTGGCTTTATTTGTACTTATGCCCGTGTGTGCACAATTTGTTTTTTCGTGGCCAGCCCTGTAGTTCCTGATGTGAGCAATAGCCCTCGTATTTCCTCAAATGTATTTGTGGATGTTTTCTTTCTTTTTAATTTGCTTTTTGATCTTAATTTGTGTTGCATGCACTTGTCATTCTTCATATGTTCTCATGTATATTTTGTGCCTCGTCTTAGTTGTTTAATTTGGATACAGGCTTCAACTGTCAGTTGCTATTTGAGTTTCAAATGCACACTCTTATTCTAACTATATATTTTTCAGCCTTACCACTCTTCTCTCCTTGCTTACTGAGTTTAGTATTCCCTTGACTTTATAGAAAAAGTTGGAGATGTATAATATCAATGAAGTTTTTATGCTTAAATCTCAATAGCCACCCTAAGACTCTGACAACTACTACTGTCACCTGTGAAGATAGTCAAAATTCGATATAATTAATTTCCTTGTTTTTTCTAAGTTTTTATATTTATGAAAATTTCTTGTTCTGTTCATTCCAGGGCTGCGATGCATCTGTTCTGCTTGCTGACAGCAGTAAGAATAGGACTGTTGAACGTGAGGCGATCCCAAATCGGAGTTTCGGACACTGAAAGGGTTCAATTTCATCGACATGATAAAGGATGAAATTGAGGAGGCATGCTCTGGGGTGGTCTCTTGTTCTGATATCCTTGTCCTTGCAACAAGAGATGGCGTCGTTCTGGTATGAGTCTAGCCTAATTCTTTGTTTCCTATAGGAACCACCTGAAGTTTCTCAAATGAATATCGTTAGATGATCTTGTTGTGCATATTCAGATGTTGCTAATACATAACAAAAACTTCTGATACCTTCTAGTGGTATTATTTGTTAACAGTGCAGTTCTGATAATGATAATACCAATAATTTAAAAACTATTCATCATGGGAAGTTTCTGCTAGCTTTGTCAACCAATTTGGCTATTATCAGTGTCTAAATGTAATTAACATGTAGAGCTGTTTGAAGCTTAAGATGGACCAAGCCACACAAACGCTAGTCTCACTCAAACAGATTTTTTTCTAGGAAGAATGCTACTTCAATTATCTTATCTTAATTAGAATATCTAATTACCTTATCATATATTCTTTGTTTTCAAATACATACCTACACTAGTCATTGGATGGCCAATTCAATCATTACCTTCATTGAGGAACCCTTTACGAACAAAATTCTATCCCAGAAGCTTATAGCAATTTCCTAAAGCTATATAATTTTAAGAAGATATGATAAGTGCCGCTAATTCTTCCTAAATGACCATTGACAAATATGTGTTGTGTGTATAGTAAAAAATGAAGCTGCATTTACAGCCGTCAGCCCCCATACTGTAACAAAGATTAAAGATGCTGCCAAAGTAGCCCTCGTATTTCATCCGAAAAAACTATTTCTTATTTTCTTTGCTTTTGTTCTTTTTAATCCAAGAATTCTCAAGTTGCAACTATCCTAGAAAATTTTATTGTTTTGAACAAAATTTGCTTTAAAAGTACCTCTTTAATTTTTATTTTACTTATTGTTATTTCAGAATATTGTCTAAACGACACCATAGAAAATATGTAGACTGTTTCCTCTGTGTGTGTTTTTTTTTTTTTGACAAGTGTTTCTCTCGTTATTGAATTTGTTTTTCCTTCACCTTTTAATCTCTGACTCTTTTTATTTTATTTTTATATTTTTTTTTCTGGGAACTGTGGGAACGGTGACTCTAATGCTATGCTACTCTGAACTGTCTATTTTACTGAATTTCTCACAAGAATGTATTGATATTATTTAGACAATTACTATAACCCACTCTACCACCTCCCAGAAAAGATAAAACAATCTCATACAAAATAGTATATTGAAGTGATCACTTACTAGCTAGAGAAGTACTTCCCATTCTTCTTTTCACTTTATGAATTGCATAGTTTTTCCAGTTGCAATCTTAACAAGGCGCTGCTCAGACTGATAAGGGTGTAGGACGTTCGTGGAAGACAGTTATGACGATTCAGATGATCCAGTGACCGTGAGTGGGAGAAAGTGAATTCATAGTGGAGCCATTTCTATTGGAAGAAAGTCTATTTAGGATCTTATTGAGGTGGTGTGGAACAAGTCGTTAGAAGAAAGTCCATGCTAGAAATTCAAAAGGTGATTTCGCAAGTGTGTGAGTTGGTCGCGATGAATTGATCAGTTACGAGTTTTTATAACTTTAAGCTAGTTCATTTAATATAGCCCAAGAATTGATACACTGAAACTATATTAGTTCGAGGTGAGAGCTTAAGCACAATATGAGTTACATAAGTTCCCATATAGCAGTAGATACTCTTGGATATTTTAAGAATGAGACGGTTGAACTATCAGTTTGATAAAAACATAAAGAGAAGACAGCATCGACATCAAATGCTTAAGCATTTTAGATCGGAACTGCTTTTATGCGCTGGAAATTAAAATATCTGACTTTCAGAGTCACTGGCCATAAATTTAGACAGAGCCAATAAGTTTAAAACCTACACCAGGAAACTAAACACAGTTCGCCTCAAAACTGACTGTTAGTTTGTACAAGTTCAACACTGGAAAGATTCATTGAAGCATGAAACCGAAACCAAAAATTGCTAAGTCTAAACAAGGTCATCAAAAGACAGAAAGGCTCATCAAATTCTCTTTTAAGATAGAAATTTGATTATTGATGTTTCAAGCTTGAGTTTGATAGAGAGAATAACAGCACCATCAACAATATGTTCAATGAACGAATAGCTAGGAGTCTGAGTGAGTCTGCTATGTCATACTCTCAGGGACTATCCGCATTTTCCTCAATCGGAGCTTCATTTGATAATCACTATTACAAGACTTTGATTAGAGGAAGAGGGCTACTATTTGCTGATCAAAAGTTGATGGCTAATGAAAAGACGGCAGAAGTGGTGATTGATTATGCTTTGGATGACGGGACTATGTTCCGAACAGAGTTTGCTCATGCCATGGCTAAATTGTTAGATTTTGTTGTTCTTACTGGATCCCAAGGAGAGGTTCAGCGTAGCTGCTCCCATCTGAATTCTAAACCAGTAAGAGCTACTGATCGGAACATTTACGTACAATATGGTATAGACCAGTTACACTTACTTCTTTTGTGTTGAAGTAGTGATACTTAAAAGGAATTTAATCTTGTTGGATTAACAAATAGTACTTATCTCTTCTAACCATCACCATAAAGAAACAAGTGCTAAATTGCAAAAGCATTTACGGTCATATCCCATGTCAACATCTTCTTTTGCTGCTTCATATTTCAAACACACAATTGAAGAAAAAGTATGAAACCTAGATTTGATTAGAATGACCCAGAATGCTAAAATAAATATCCTGGATCTATTCTTTAACTCATTATGATGGCCCTTATTTCTACAATAATTAGACCAAGAGTTGATGTCGGTATTTGTCATAAATTCATGGTACGAGTAAACATCATAAACAAAGTATTTTGTAAAATCTTAAACTACGAATATCATAATCAAGATTTGTGTTGTTTTATCGGATGTCCCCGAAGGGACTAAGTTTTACATATACCCTAATATTTTTTTCCTACTAGGCTTAAAATAATTATTGAAAAAAGAACATAAAAACATACATGTAACGTTGTTAACAGCGATGGATCAATAGGGAATAATCATTGAGTGGGGTGCCAGATTCATATATAGATGATCATCCGTCCAGAATCTGCCACGCCGCTCAGATATAGCTTCAATGTATGAAAGTTTCTTCATCTCCCGCCAAGACTTAATTGTTCAAGGGCTAGGCTATATGGCTATATATAACAAACGCACCGCCGCTTCTTTTTTTCTTTTTTGGTAACTAATGAGTTATTCGTAAAACTTACGTTGAAATTTCAAAATATATGTCTCTTTCTCTGGGGTTAGTTTTCCTTTCAAAAATGCCTATTCAGCAGCAGCACATCCTAACCCTAATGTAACTTCTTCTTTTTTGGAAACATTTATAGTTTGCATTATATACAAGGCATTCGTAGTTCATACATATTTTTTTATTCTGTTGGTGCTAAAGTCGTTGCCCTTTTTTTTTTTTTTTTTTTTTTTTTTTACAAAATAATCAAAATTAAGAATTATATTATGTTATTAACAAATTGTGACTATTATATCTTCTTCTTCTTCTTCTTTTGGCTAAACAGACTATTATATCTTCTCGCTAAAGAAAAATATACCATATCAACTATAGAAAATCTTTTAATTTCTTCCGTTTATAAATAATTCCGAAACTATAGTTTTGTAATAGAAAGTAAGAAATATTTCCAAAAAATGTGTTGATGTTTTCAAAGACTTTATCATTAATTCTAACACTATTGTTCTCTATAGAATTGTTTGAGTTATCTCTGGAATTATATTTTTCAAGTACAATAGAGGAAAATGTCGTTTCAAGTATGATTAATTCTACAATTGCATTTGCATTCTTAGAGGCATTACCAAAGGTAAGCAGCTCTTTCTTACTGGTAATGTTATCAACTCTTGCCATAAATATGTGGTTTAATTTAGTGGCCTGGGGCATATATAGAAGCAAGCTGATGCTGTTTCGTAACTAATGTATCTATGGTTACCAAAGCCAGGCAGCTCCTATTTCTCACTGAAAATGTTATGAACTCTTTGTCATATGTGGGCATATATAAAATCTAGTGTTGTTACCTCTTATGTTTAGAAAACTACAGTTTCAAAATATTTCATCGTAAATTTTTGTCATGTATATTAAAAGTAAACTGAAGAAATTAAAAGAATAGCTGATATGGTACATTTTACTTGGGCCAAAAAAATATTATATGTCATAAATAGTCATAATTTATTACTATATATAATTCTTAATTTTGATTATTTTGTGTGAATAAAAGGGCAACAACCTTAGCAGAATATAAAGTACGTATGCCTTTTATGTAATTAACTTGTAAGCCCTCAATCACAATTAGTTAATAATGCCATAGGGCTACGTCTTTAAAATAAAACTTACGAAAATCAATTAGGCGGTGCATATTCATTAGGCGGTACAGCTGTTGGTGTATTGGGGAACTAGGGATATTGGATACTAATTAATAACCCTAGAGAGAAAAATTATTTTGGGAAGGAGAGATGAAAATCAACGCAGTTCATTTTCTGAATCCATATCTGAAGGGAAATTGTGTTACTCCCTTCAGATGTGATTTCAATCATACGAATCAAACATATTGGTTGCTCTCACAATTAATGTAATATGTAGGTTTAGTCTAAGTTTCGTTTATTTCTTTGCCAGATTATGTTTAGAGCAATATGTAGGTCTAGTTTAACATTTTCTATTTGTTTGCTAGATTATGTAAATAGTTTTCATGTGTCTTGGTGATGCAAACTCAGCAGCGCACTTAATAGAAATCAAGAAAACACAAATCTTGCGAATTTCATGTTATTGCCATCAGTTCTTGATGTATGCTGACAGGCTCACTTATTGCCTTCAACTCACTAAATTCAGACCAATCATCACAAAGAAACAATTATTGGTTCAACGTTGACTAATTGACTTAAGATCTTGGATCGGTCTATATTCAACATGTTAATATAGTGTTTTGTATTGTTTTCTTCTCCTCCGACTTTCTTTTTTTTTTCTGAATTAATTCAAAATATAGAGCATCATAACATAATCTTCTATATTATACTATACTATAATATAGAAAAAGCACGAAACCCCTTAGCGAAATGTCGTTCGCCTTTTTTATCCTTTAAAAATAGATTTCACGTTGGATAAAATAATCATTTAATTAATTTCCTAATATTTAGAACTTTAAAATTGACTAAAATTTTGATTATTAAATCTTTCCTTATTTGAGTTAGGTAAGAAGTTCTAAATTTTAGGGCTTTAAATCAATTGGTATTTTACCATACATAAATTCTTTCCTTGTTTAAACTCTATAAAATACTTATAAATCTTTCATATTACTTTTAGTGGATGCAGATTCTATGGGGGAAAAAAGTAAAGTAATGTGTGTGTTTTAACGATATTAAAGTAATTAATAGATCATACAACTTTTATGCCTAATATCTAAAAGGTCGCATATTTAGGACTTTAAATAAGTAATATAATTTTTTCATGTTTAGTTCTTGTAGAAGTTGAAAAATATCAACCACGAAAGATGAGTAAAAGTACTATTTTTGCAAATTTTGTTCTTGTAAAAGATAAAAATATCAACCACGAGATCTTGAAATATATAACCAGAAAACTTTATCATGGATAAAAGGTGCAAATTTATGTGTAAAATAATGGTTAATACTTTAGAAGTTATCCCTTTCTTGCACCTAATTTTTTGTTAAATCTTTATATTGGACTTTAAAACCGATTAATATTTTTTTATTATCTTACAGAAATTATTTTTTTATTGGAATAATGTAATATAATCATAATTCTTTTCATGTTATTATATGTGAACTATAATAATTCATATTATATTTGAACTACTTTTCTCTCCAAAAAATATTTTTCTATTTAGTAAATTTTTATGTATAATATCTTTAAAATTATACTCAATAATTAAAACAAATGACATATAATATTTTAAAAATATAGAAGATAAACAGAGAGGGGCGGGAGAGAGAGAGACTAGAAAAGTAGTATTTGGTAAGACTTATGATTCTGCAAACACAAATATCCAAAAATAAAAAGAAACAAAATAATCCTTATTGAGATGATAAGCCAATATCAAGAATTTGAATCAATAAAAAATAAATCATTTCCTTTAACAAAAATTTAAGTTTTTGAATTAACTAATTAAAAAAATAATGCCAGCCAATTCTTTTCTAAATAGAAAAAATCAAGTTGAAACTCTTAGAGTACATAAAGTTGGCTTAGAAAAAAGAGCAATTTGTGGTTAAAGCAATCAAAAAGTAATAAAACAAAATGATGATGTAGTACTAAGAGCCAAATTAAAAATTCAATAATTTGTGTTTCTTATATATTCTATCTGTGTCAAATTATATGTTGTGTTTCTCTTATATTCATCTCTTAAGAAACATTAATTAGGAGGGGGTTGGAGTATTTTTACCCTTATTTATGTCTTAAAATATAGTCTCTCTTCATGGAATATTTATTTTATTTATGTGTTATCTCCATTGTCAAGAATATTTATTATTATTAAGGGTAAAATGGAAAAAATATAATTTATTTTATCTTGAACTTCTAAAATGACAAATAATTTGAGACAACTATTCTTAGAAAGCACGACAAATAATTTGATACGGAGGTAGTATATTTTTTATTGATTAGCGCGAGTCACACGTGCAACACGTACACAAAAACTAGTATATACCTAACACTTCGCCAAACGTGTTTTTCAAATTTAAAAGATAGAATAGCAACTTTAGTCAAATAACATATGATAGAAACAATAACTAAAGAGAAAGATTAAGATCTAGACCCTGTGTATCATCACGATTTTGATCGCTTGAGATTAAGCCCTGATGCTTATCACTCACATAATTAACACCAAAGGTTGTTCCCTTGCTTCCTAGCAATTCATTGTTGTGATGTTCAGTACAGCTGGTAGTTGCCACGGCAGTCTCCTTTTCCTTATCAGTTTTCTTCTTCTTTTTCTTCTTGTGCTCGATTTTTTCTGCTAATTGTTGGTTTGCCGTTTCAGAGTTTTTGGTCATGGTGTTACTATTAAAGACCAAGTCATGGCGAGCATCTCTAAAGCTTCTGATGAGTTCATAAAACTTGTCCATCTTCTCTTCTTCATCATCATCGTCATCGCCACCATCTATTTCTGGGCAGTCCTTCCTCTTCTTGCTCTTAGAAATTTGGGCTGATGAAATTTCCATATTAAATCTTTTGTGGTACCAATGGCAAAAGGCAATGTCACAATGACTAAATAGTAAATATCCATGTACCAGTACAGGAGAAAAAAAAAAGGGGTTCATTTTTTGTGCAACTTCCGGGTTGGTTCCGCGCTGCTGCCCAACGTACATAACGTGCCAAAGTGCCAGTACACTAGGTACGGCATATCACCGCTCCAAGTCTTGGTCTTCTGGTCCTTAATTTTCCTTTTCTTTTTTGAAAAGTCAATTTAATTAACCGCTGCTTAATTAAATCTCTTCTTGTTAAACACTACCTCCGGGCTCCGGCTGATATTTTTTGTCTTTTGAAGTCCGGCACACTCCTTAATAGAGACATTTAATAGTCTTAAATCATATATAAGAATATTTGCTAAACTGGGCTTTATCTCTTCTTAAAAGTGTCTCGCTCAATCAGCACTTCACTAGTTCGAGCACTAAGAGTATGTTTGAAAGAAAAGAAAAGAGTACTGCATGTAATCCTTATTTTTCTAAAATTTTAAAATCATAACAAGTTTAGTATGTCAAAAACACGAATGAGACCGGAGGTAGGATATTTGAAACTTTCCTGGTGAATTACAAATTCCCTTGTGTTTTTGAAAAATATAATCAAGAGTAAATGCTCCGAAATAAACCAGTAACATGCAGGGTCATTGGTCAATACCTACTTAATATTACCTTTTCTTATTGTTACTTGGCATTTGAACTATTTTGGGTCCAAATAATTTCTGTATAGTATAAAATATGTTATATTAAATTATCACACGAGTAAGTGACACGTGGAGCCGAAGACAGAAGATAGCTGAAGCCGAAAGCAATGATCCCGTCTGTTACAGAAGAGAATGATACTCATAAAGATAGAATAAATATTTGTCATCCGATAACATTTAATAAAGAATATTCTACAACATTAAGTATACTGCCCGTTACAAGAAATATGTCATTCACTGTCCGCCGTTTCACATTCTTCAATGGCCCTCATAAATCATAATTGACATTAAAGAGGGGCTTGATCCTAGGACCTTGTTCCCCAGGTGCAGCTATAAATAGTGAGCTCTGTTATCATTGTAAAGGACACGAATTTTCTGGCAAACATACGCTGCACTCTATTCAAAGCTTAATATAATTTTATCTTCTTACTCTTTGATATCATTGTTGTTGTGCCCAGAAGCCCTGCTCCCGGAATTATTATTTCTGTTATTTCTTCTCCATCTCAAGATTAAGTATTATATTTTTATCTAATTCGTCGATTATTTCAAAATCAAATTAATTCACTTATCTAGAAACCACATATAAATTCAATTGTACTATTTTACGGATAAATAGTTTGGCACCCATCGTGGGGCCTAGACAGATGTGTAATTAAGTTGGACCTTGCCTATTTTACTAACGTGTTTGCTTATTTGTTCTTAGCAAAAATTCATAGAAAATGGCAGATAATGGTATTAACAACACACACAACCTTGAGGCCCAAGGAAACTAGCCTCACCACAAGGATTCAATCAGTGGTACCCGCAGTGAGGGGAACGGAACCACACCGATCCACAGCAGGCGGTACCCGCGACATGTTCGGGAGGCGACACCTGATGATGCTGAAGAGGAGCACGTCGTTGAAGCGGTAAGGATCCTGCAGGAGCAACAAGATATTATTCTAGGTCATCTCACACGGCATGATAAGGTTATGACAGAGCTAAAGCAGGCGTTATCGATTGCTTCCAATAATGCGAGGTCGGCTTCAATGGGGCCGGGGGGAGCGGATCCGGTCACAATAACGAGAGCGATCCCTTCAAAAATAAACACATACGGTTTATGAGGGAAGTGAACACCCGCATAGACCAAATCCTGGGAGCACCATCGGTGCTGAAAGGTTCGGACTCAAAGAAGTAGACTCAATTTCCATACCAGCCAAGCGCGAAACCAGAATTGATCCCGAAGTGGTATAAAATGCCCGACGTGCCGAAATATGATGGGACTTCTGACCCTCAGGAGCATATCACCACTTATATAACGGCGGTGAAGGGAAACGATTTAGCTCCCCACGAGATCAAATCAGTTTTGTTGAAAACTTTCGAAGAGACTCTCACGAGGGGAGCCCCGAAGTGGTATTCGTTGTTGCCCGAGCATTCCATAGACTACTTCAAGATGCTTGCAGATTCTTTCATTGAGGCCCATGCCAGAGCTAGAAATGTGCAGGCCCGGAAGACCGATATATTTAGGATTACACAAGGAGAGCCCGAGTTGCTACGAGAATTTATAACCCGGTTCCAGGAGAAAAGGATGTTGCTCCCGGCCGTTCCGGATGAATGGGCAGCTGAAGCATTCACCAAGGGTTTGAATCTGAGAAGTTTCGATGCTTCCCGAAAATTGAAAGAAAGCTTGCTCGAGTTCCAAGCGACGACTTGGGCAGATGTTCACAACTGATACGAGTCAAAGATAAGGACTGAGAATGATCAGCTCGGCTTCCCAGCGTCGGTTAAAGGTCGAGAGAAGAGTAAAGAGAAATCAAATGACGATTTCGACACAGATAGACGGTCTTCGAGGAACCAATTTTTGCCCAATGAACAGGCCAAAGGACGTGGCAGAGGCTTCCAGTCAGTAGACAGGTTCATTACCAATAGAAGAGCTGATCGCGGCCGGAACAAGAGGTCATTACAAGATAAGGAAACATCAGGTTCTTGAGATTCTTCCTACCCCAGACTTTCGGAGTATAACTTCAACGTCAGTGTAGTAGAGTTGGTGTCGGCTATGAGAAATATTAAAGAAGCACGGTTCCCGAAGCAGATAAGATTTGATACCAGCTAGAGCTATCCTAATTTATGGTATGAATATCACGGAACGAACGGTCACCGAACTGGGGACTGCCGGCATCTACGCGAAGAGCTGGCGACACTGTTGGAAAATGGCCATCTCAGGGAATTCTTAAATGACTGGGCCAAAAATGATTACGGTCAAAATCGTGACAACACAGAGCCCTCAAAAGCAGGAGAAAATCCCCCGCGCCTCACGATCAACATGATTTTTGGGGGCAACGAGATTAACGGGGTTACCTTCTCGGCGGCAAAAAAGATGAAGGTATCAGTAACCCACAGTAAGAGACTCCGGGAAGTCGCTGAAGGCGACATCACTTTCACGGAGGGAAGACGTAGATGGATTGTTGTTGTCGCACAACAACGCATTAGTAATTTCTTTGACTGTATTAGATTTTAAAATCAAATGTGTTCTGATGGATCTAGGCAGTTCGGCCAATATTATACAACGGAGGTTATTGGAACAATCCAAATATACCAGAAGCATCGTTCCGACCACAAAACTCCTCGTCGGGTTCAACCTAGCAAACGTGACAACCCGAGGAGAGATTCTGCTGCCCACAAACACCGAGGAAGTGATGAAGAAGACCCTTTTCGAGGTGGTGGATGGTGATATGGGCTACAATATTATCCTGGGAAGACCATGGTTATACGAGATGAAAGTTGTACCATCAACGTATCACCAATTGTTGAAATTCCAAACTCCGGGGCTGGGGGGAATTAAACAGATAAAATGTGATCAACCAGTGGCAAGGGAGATGAATGTGATTTCTGTATCCAGTAGCAAAGGGAAGGAGCATACTGCATAGCAATTTCAGGAGCTGGCACCTTCTCCTGAATCAAGTGAAGTCAACTAGGGGGAAGAGGCGTCGGAATATTATCAGGTACCAAGATATTTCCAGGTACCAGAAGAGACGGACGCAACAAATTCCACAATGGAAGAGCTTGAGCAAGTCGCATTGTTCGAAAAGTTCTTGGAGAGGAAATTCCACTTAGGGATAGGATTGCACCCCTAGCTTAGGTCTGGGTTTATTGAATTTCTTAAAGTTAACGTCGATTGTTTTGCGTGGTCGCATGCGGATATGACAGGTATCCCGACGGAAGTGGTCGTACACAAGCTAAGCTTAGATCCTAGCATCCCCCCGGTAAGACAAAAAAAATATCCTATTGCCGAGGCCAGAAATAAAGTCGTCAAAGAAGAGGTAGCCCGCCTACTTGATATCGGTTCGATCTGAGAGGTAAAGTATCCGGACTGGCTAGATAACGTAGTAGTAGTTCCTAAGAAGAACAATAAGTTTCGCATGTGCATAGTCTATAAGGACTTGAATAAGGCATGCCCAAAAGACTCGTTTCCATTGCCAAACATCAATCAAATGATTGATGCAACGATCAGGCATGAGTTAATGAGTTTCCTCGATGCTTACTCCGGGTACAACCAAATTAAGATGAACCCGAAGGATCAGGAAAAAACTTCATTCATAATAAATTTTGGCACATACTGCTATAATGTGATGCCCTTCGGGCTAAAAAACGATAGAGCTACTTATCAGCGGATCATAAATAAGATGTTTGAAAAACAGATAGGGAAAACCATGGAAGTTTATATAGACAATATACGTGTTAAGTCTTTGAATGTAGGTGATCATCTTAAACACTTGCAAGAAATGTTTGACATCCTAGGAAGCATAACATGAAGCTTAACCCCGAGAAGTGTGCTTTCAGGGTCAGCTCCGGCAAGTTCCTGGGATTTTGGGTGTCACAAAAGGGGATTGAGTTTACCCCAATAAAATCAAAGCCATCGAAGACATCCCGAGCCAGCTATCAAGCATAAAAGAGGTTCAAAGGCTCATAGGGAGATTGGCCGCTTTGAGCAGATTCATTTCCCGGTCTTTAGAGAAATGCCACTATTTCTTCGCGTTGCTTAAAAAGAAGAAGAAATTCGAATGGACCCCGGATTTAAGGGATTTAAAAAGGTACTTGTCAAGTCCTCCGTTACTTTCGAAGCCGGAGGAGGGCGAAAAATTGTTAATCAACATAGCAGTATCGAAGGTAGCGGTAAGCACCGTATTAGTCCGTGAGGACGAAGGTACGCAATCTCTCATTTATTACGTTAGTAGAATTTTAACGGGCGCAGAAACTCGCTACCCGCATTTGGAAAAGCTGATCTTCGCTCTCGTAGTCGCCGCTCGGAAGCTAAGGCCGTATTTCCAATGTTACACGATAGATGTGGTGACCACCTTTCCCCTGCGTAATATCCTTCATAAACCCGAACTCTCGGGTAAGCTGGCCAAATGGGCCGTCGAAATTAGTGAATTTGACGTAGAATATAAACCTAGGACTACGATTAAGTCATAAGTTTTTGCCCACTTTGTGGCCAGTTTCAGTCCGGGGTTGCTACCTCTAGCAACCAAAGAAGTAGTAATGGTATCAGAATCGACATCAGGAGTTTGGACCCTATTTACGGACAGAGCTTCCAACGTAAGAACAGTCCCTTTGACTAACAATGAAGTGGAGTATGAAACTTTGATTACAGGACTCAAATTGGACCGGGGACTAGATTCTGAGGTCATAGAAATCAACTACGACTCTCAGCTGGTGGTAAATCAGGTCTACGGGACCTTCGAAGCCAAAGATGAGCGCATGCAACAATACGTAGTAAAGGTTCAGGCTCTACTTGCTTGATTCCGGGAGTGGTCAATTATGCATATCCCGAGGGAAGAAAACACGAAAGCAGACACATTAGCTAACCTTGGCTCATCAACGGAAAGGAAGGGATCAGATTCCGGTTAGGTAGTACAGCTTATGCACTGGTTCTAGACGCAGATAACTACTACGAGGTAAACACGACCAATATGGTCTAGGACTGGAGGAATGAAATCATTGATTATCTTGAGCACATGAAGTTGCCTGAAGACCCCAAGTCATCCCGGGCGCTCGCACTAAAGCAGTACGATATAGCTTCAAAGGAGACTAATTGTACATGAAATCTTTCCAAGGCACGCTGGCCCGATGCTTGGGATCCTCCGAAGCTAATTATGTTATGCGAGAAGTCCACGAATGGATATATGGAAATCATTCGGGTGCAGATTCCTTAGTATTAAAGTTGGCAAGGGCAGGATACTATTGGCACCGAATAGAACAAAACGCCAAAGCTTTCGTACAAAAATGCGATAAGTGTCAACTCTACGCACCGTTGGTACATCAACTAGCAGAACCATTGCACTCAGTTTTGTCTCTATGGCCGTTCATAAAGTGGGGAATGGATATCGTGGGACCACTGTCGCCGGCCCCTGGTAAGGTAAGGTTTCTTTTTATTTTAACTGACTATTTTCTAAGTGGATTAAAGCAGGTCCTTATCAGAAGATTGATGAACTTGAAGTGGTGGTTTTCTTGTGGGAGAACATAATTTGCAGAATTGGAATACCAAAATAGATAGCCTGCGATAACGGGCCACAGTTTATAAACGCAAAGGTCACAAAGTTCCTTGAAGACTTGAAAATCAAAAGGATTACATCTTCTCCCTATCATCCGAACACAAATGGTCAAGCAGAATCAACGAACAAAGTAATTATACAAAATCTCAAAAAGAGATTGGAAGCAGTTAAAGGTAAATGGCCAGAGGAACTGCTTGGAGTACTATGGGCGTACCGAACAACGGCCAAATTGAGCCCATGAGAGACTCTCTTCTCCCTTGTGTACGGAGCAAAAGCCTTGATCCTGGTAGAAGTAGGAGAGCCTACCTTGAGATACTTCCAGGAAAATGAAGAAGCAAACAACGAAGCAATGTTAGTCAATTTGGAGCTGCTCGATGAGCACAGGGACTTGGCGCATATAAGGATGGCAGCTCAAAAGCATAGAATAGAAAGATATTATAATCGAAGAGCCAACCTCCATTATTTCAAAGTGGGAGATTTGGTTCTAAGAAAAGTAACTCAAAATACCCGAAAACTCAACGTAGGGAAGCTAGGTCCAATATGGGAAGGCCCCTACCGAGTTTCAGATGTCACCGGGAAAGGTTCATACGAGTTGGAGAATCGAGATGGAGAAAAGTTGCCAAGCAACTAGAACGTGGCACACTTCAAGAGATACAATTGCTGATGAACATCACTTGTATTGAAAGTATGTGCTGCACTATTTTTCCTTTCCTCCAGTTTTTTTCCCAATTCGATTTTTCTGGCAAGGTTTTTAATGAGGCAATAATGGAAAGCATACTACGAAGAAGGTTTCAACAGTAGCAATAAGACCTTTTAATAACAAGGTACACAAGCGAAGAACCACTCCGGAGCGATTAGATAATTTTTTGCTCGGTAGCAAATTTCCCACCAGAAAGTTAAGTTTGCTACCGAACAAAGGTTACCCAACCGTTCACAAGTGCAAGCCACTTGGGGATTGTTAGGTAGCCTTTGATCGTTACCATCGTCCATGTTGGATAGCAGTGCATGGTGGCCTCGCTTGCTAAAGTTAATCATTCCCCCACGGAAGATTTTGGGGTAATAAAGGTTCATCACTCAAGCTAAGGATAGCTCTTCTCCCATCTCTTGGCGCAGGCGCCGAAGACAAGCGATTGTCCTCCACACGGAAGGGCTTACCTGTGCCAAACACACTTGATAACAGAGGCAGAACTCTACAATGACGGAGTCAAGCTCTCCGCTTAAAAAAATACTCCCAAAGTAAAGGGATACGTGTAACAATATGTATAACTCTTTTTGGGTAAAGTTATCCGCTCCGCCATGTCGGGAGCGATAATGTTCAAATATTGACAATGGCAGTCTTCCTTCACAGAGAGGATACTGGAAGGAAGGATAGAAGAAGGCACTACAAAAAAACTGTCTTATTACGACGGTTATTTTTGCTTACGACGGCGGTTTCGAACCGCCATAATCTGCATTTACGGCGGCTTTGGGAAACGCCACAATCCCGTGCGTCAAAAATTTATTACGGCGGTTTTAGCATAACCGCCCTAACATGTAGCTAAAAACTGCCACAATTACATTCTTTACCTATGGCGTTGTTATGTTGTTTAATATGGCAGTTCTTAACCGCCATGATTGCATATCTAAAACTGAATTTCTATTAAATAATATTATGACCATTAATTCCAATCACTAGTAATATAACAATTTTTCCATTCCACAGTTACATCCCTACGGCACTCCATACCCTAAAATTTTCATAACATATCATATTGAATTTAACATAAAATATAAAGGATTAAACAAGAAAATTATTTATTAAACAATTAAACAAATAAAATATAGTTACTCCAAAATTACATTATCCAATGTATTTTTATTTCAAAGAGTAAATCAATACAACAATATCCAAGAGATTCATACCTAATCCTAAACATAATTACTAATTTTTACATGCTTAATCGGTATTGTTACTTGTCTATAGATATTTTTGACCCAATTGATGACGGAGTGCCACTTCATAAATTTGATGCCTGCTAAACAAAACCAAAAAAAAGAGACAGTAATACAGGGAAAACCACAATAACTAAAAAATTGACATCAACAAGAATAGGAACATAAAAGTCAAATAGCTTCACTGACAGTAATTTATTTATTCAACTGCATTCCAGAAAACTAACTTCAGAAAGTCAATGATAAACATATAGTCCACCTCATGATCTACCAAAAATAGAATGACAGTTTCTGAAAGAGAGAGAGGCACCTTTCCTGTTGTGACTTCCACACCTCCTTTTAGGGGATAAGGGAGTTTTTTCAATTAAAGTAACATTATTAAAAATGTGATTATTTATTTATTCAGAGTCGCTACTTGGAATAATTTATGGTATCCCAAGTCACCGGTTTATTTTCAAATTCCAAATCGAGAAAATTGACACTTATTTATGGTTTGTGAACATAGAAGACTAGGTAAGGATTTCTATTAACCCGGGATAAGGTGTTAGGCATTTCCGGATTTCGTAGTTTTAGCACGATCGCTTAATAATTAACACTTGGCCTAATTATCTGATTTATTACCTGTTTTAAATCTATTGTGCATTTTATCTTTGACCGCTTTTGATATTCAATTAACCGCTTTTAGTATTTATGAATTTTATTTTAATAAGTCGCAATGTCGCACAATTATTGTTTTTGTACACATTGCTAATCGCGTCACGTGAAATGCACCCATGATTTGTAACATGTTTATTTGATTATTATTTAATTTGAAGTTGTAAGGTCGAGTCGCATAAAATGCGCACTTGACTTGGGGTTACGTATCATGAATATGCCACAGGAACCGTACCCATAGTTACAATGATTTATTTATGAATCGCGCCTAAAGCAAGCTACGACGTTCATGATTTATTATTTCCTAATATTGCTTTGAGATGTATTGCAAGGTCATATGAATTATGGAGAAAAATCGTGGATAGAATGTATAAAGATTGAGATAAATCTAAGGTCAATTGACATGAGTATCAATTGGTTCAAACGTCAATTAATTAGTCCACTTGAGACTCATAAACTTGGGAGGCGGCTATTTGAAGAATCTTGACAAGTTTAACTTAATACTTCTGGAAATTCTTATTAGCATACATGCCTCTTCTCTTTTACATTGTAGTTAGATTTGCTCAACAATTCCAAGACACAAGGCTATGGGCTGGAGTTGGCTAGGTGAGGATGAGAATGGTCCTTTAACAGATTGAATATAAATATAATTGGGCTTTGACGTCGAGCCCACAACGCCACACAACAACAAAATTTTCTCATCACATATTACTGCCAAAACTTCTTATCTAAACACAAGCTTGTAATTGTATTTTTAATCAGATTCATATTTAACTATCATGACATACAAATCAGTAATAACAGTCAATGAAACATTAACAAAGAAAATACCAATCAGTTCTAACTCATCACTTGATACAAATATGAGGTGAGGTGTTTAAGAATAACATGTATGAGATGAGATGCTTAAGGATTTATTAATCAAAACAGGAAATACTATTACTGGAGAATTCGTATATGATAGTAGGCAAACCAACGAACAAACAATCTAAGCTAATAATGAGACATTTAGGCAAACAACTTTCATTCATTAATTCAAAAAAATAATAATTACAGATTACTCAACGTACCTAAACTGAAGATAGCAGCAACAGTACCAAATAAGGCTGAAATGAAGATGAAGCTCAGCTACTCAACAATCTACAACAGCAGCAACAAACAACCCCTTAAGAACTCGATTTGACCTTGAAAACACAACTAGATTTGTCCAGCAAATTGGCAGAGTGATATTTTTTTAAAATCCTTGGTTCTTCAACTCTTTTTCTTTGTTTGTGAAGCTCGTTTGAGGAGGCAGGCGGAAATGGGTAGCTGCTCGAGGGAGAAGGAGTCTGTTTGGAGATGATGGAGAGAAAAGAAGAAGAAGAAGCTTAGCATTTTCTTTTCAAGGGGAAGGTCTGTCCCGTTCTCTCTTGAGAGCATCAGGTGGCGGCTAGGTTTTTAGTTTAAGGGGAAGTATCATCCGTTTTTTTTCTAGATGATTTTAGGGAGATAGGTTATTTTAATAAGCGAAGAGAGGGATGATGGGCCAGGCGGGTCGGATAAATGGGAATGGGCTGGGCGAAATTGGAGCAAGATTTGGGTCGCTGATCACTGGCCCAGTTTAAAAATAAAGTAAATAGCCTCTTTTTTTCATAGTCTAAAATTTTCTAAATTGACCAATCTAATTCTAATTAAAGCTAACTTTGCAAAATAAACCTAATTATCTATTTTCTAATAATTAACTAATTATTTAACTAATAATGCATGTAAAGTGCCTAATGTATTTTTGGTATTTTAATATTTTACAAATGCAATTAATTATGCAATTAAAATCTAAAAATATAAAGATTAAAATATTTTTGTTATTTTTTAAGATTTAAAATGCACCAAACACAAATACGCACAAAACAAATCAATTAAAATATAGAAAAATTCCTAAAACTCTATAAAATAATTAAAAGCTATTTTTTGAGATTTTTTTAGGAGTAATTTCATATATTTGGCAAAACTTATGTGCTCACACTGACTATAATATACTGCTTGATCTTTCCCCTCACCCACCCCCTCTCTCTGCCACCCACCCATGATCGTACCATGCAAGAAAGGGAGGAAGAGGAACATAATGGTTCAGCTCCTTTATCAAGTATATGCCATGCAACTTCTAAAAGTATACCTGATCAGTTAACCCATACACTATCAGATCCTTCAATATTAGTTTTTCTTAACAGACATACAAATAACTAGTAGCGTCAAGAGTGTATATATTTCAAGCCCCAACAGAAAAGCAAACAAGAAAAGATGAGTATTATACCTGTGGAGGAGTAGGAAATAAGCCAGCTAACTACTCGGGGATATCTCCTAAGACCAAGTCGTATAGAACTTTGCTCGAACACTAGAGTCAAAACTGCACCCAAGTCTAACCTCGAACATGACCGACGTATTTTGTATCCTTCATATTTCTCCTAAACGAAAGATAAAAGAATACTTAAATCTTATACAAATAGTCTATTATTATATGATAAATATCACAACTAAAAAATTCAAGCAATCAACCTACTATTTAGCACAATTTCTCTAGCCTCTTCATTCATATAACTCTCATCTAGCCGCTTATGAGTTCCAATCCAATATTCGCCTCGATCAATATCTTTTTCCGGTGTCTAACTTCTGAAATTTTCAAGATGTAAAACATTAGTACCTAATTAAGGATGTATTTTATCTTTAGAATTGATCGTTAAGCACATCGTATTACACTACCATATTAGTCCTTCTAGCCAAACTCATAACACCACCAGACGACGAATAGCTTGTTTTCATCGAACCAATTGAGTCCTCTTGCAAAGCTCCTGGTCCTGCAAGTTCAAATAGGTGAATTTCTTTAACATAAGAGCAAAATATTTATAAATATCTAAAGAATGTACATTTAGTAAGTACCTTTGTGGAATATTTCAAGTGATAATTAACATACATGCCTATTAATCTATGGAAATACCTCTGTTCTCTGTGAATTAAATTAGCAATAAACTTCCTTAGGCTTGCCAATGCCTTTCCTATAACAGTCAGTAATCTTCATATAACCTTATCAATATGAACAAAGTGTTACAAAGGTTATCAGTTACTAAATCTGAAGTGTTTGTGCTATCCAACTATTTGCAAGTACCTTTACAGGTCATGAGTTAGCTTTCAAACAGACTATTTTATAACTGAACTATTTTAGCCTTCATCAGTTTTTTGTGCTCAACATTCAGCCTATTGCAAAGATGTGAAGCAAGATTTAGCACACAAACATCACCTTTCATTCTGGAATTGCATGATGAACATGTGTAGAGGAATGCAATTGCCAAAGCACAAAGACAGGTATCTAAAAGGAATTAATTTCTTCAAAATATCGTCATAAATGTACCATCACATAATGAAGTTCATTGGCCACCTAGTCATAGATATTATATGTAGCAGAATTAATTTTAGAGTAAAACATGGTCAATACTAGACCATGTCATCAAATTGCTTAAGCAGAAAATAGCCAAGCATACTTGCATCAGAAACTTAATCATCAAACAATTTTAAACTAACTTAAGGCAGTCACTTAGGATTTTTATCAAACAGTTCATGTGCACATCGTCAACTGTTGCTGCAATTTACACAATCTATAATCAACAATGCTCAAAAATGAGCAACACAGCAAAATCCACATGAATCACACATACTTAACTAAGAGACGAAAATTCCAACATATGTTTCACAAACGAACAAACAAACCAACGTAATACATAATACTGTTCACAAACGCAAAAAGGGATTTTTAAGTGTCCCATGCATAGGATAATCTCTACCATATTAAGGAATATATAACACTTACAGATCTAGGAAATAAGAAGATAAGTATTGATGTACCTATTTGCAATCTGCGGCAAATCTATGTTTTCTCCAACCGTAAGATGAGGTGAGGAGGAGCTTGAAACCTAGGGTTTCGCCAAATCGTGAGAGAAGGAGAAGAGAGAGAGAGAGAGAGAGAGAGAGAGAGAGAGAGAGAGAGAGTCCGTCTAATTTATGGGAAGGGAGAGGGAATTGTAATTTGGGGGAGGGAATTCTGATTTGCTGAAAAATAGTCAAAAAGCTCATAGGAACGAAATTTGTACCGCCGTTTTAAAATAACTTACTGTGGCGATTAACCGACGTAATATATCGTGCATTGTGGCGGTTATTAGAAACCGCATTAATAAAAACGCCACAATATCTCCTTTTTTCTTGTAGCGAGGGTATACGCTATCAACCCACGTACGAGGGTGAGCAGAAAGGTACTTCTCTTCAAAATATTTGGTGGTAATCAGGTTCTTTAGGATGATGGTACTCACCGTAGAGGGAGCAACATCATCAACTTTGCCTTTGTTCTTTGAAGAACTAGGTTTTCTTTAAAAAGAGGTCATTTTTTTATCAAAGTGAGGATTTTTCTCTCAACGAAGGAAGCTAAAGAAAGGTTAAAGTCAAAGTATGAGTTGAGTAAATATGGTCTTAGAAAATTCAGAGTATTATGAAGTGAGAATGAATGAGATTGATGCGTATAAGTAAAAGTTTAGGCGGCTAAACTTGTGGCCATAATTACCTCGATAGCCAGCAAAAGTTATAGTGAATCATAGGATGACGCGTGTATGGAGCATTATATGCGGAGAGACGTTCGTCTAATCAACCGTCAGAAACGCATTAGAGGAGTCAGTAAATTTCCCGCCAAAAAAAGAATATTTCTACCAACTTTCCGGTGACACAAAGGTATGCCACCGGAAAGTACGGGGACTATATGTATAGGATAAAATATGTTATATTAAATGCTCGCATGAGAAAGTGACACATGGAGCCAAAGACAAAAGATAATTGAAGTCGAAGGCAACGATCTCGTTTGTTACCGGAGAGAATGATAACCATAAATATGGAACATTCACTGCCTACCGTTACACATTCTTTAATTGCCCTCATAATTGGCATTAAAGAGGGGCTTGACCCTAGGACCTTATTCCCTAGATGCAACTATAAATAGTGAACTTTATTATCATTGTAAAGGATACGAATTTTCTGGCAAATATACGCTACACTCTATTCAAAGCTTAATATAATTTTATCTTCTTGCTCTTTGATATCATTGATGTTGTGTCTGGAAGCCCTGCTCCCGGAATTACTATTTCTGTTATTTCGTCTCCATCTCAAGGCTAAGTATTATATGTGTTATCTAATTCGTCGATTATTTTAGGATCAAATTAATTCATTTATCTAGAAATCACATATAAATTTAACTGTAGCATTTTACGGGTAAACAACTTTGACAATACGTATATAAGTTGCACCAAGCAACAAGGATAATCAGCTAGCTCCAAAGAGTCTAATCAATTATTTGGGCTACTTTGTCGAGGTATTATCACTTCTAGCCATTCGGAAAAAACTAATGACAATCGATAGCCAAAAATTACAATATACATTTTATACCCCAAAAGTAATCTAGAGGCTAGCCACCCCACCGAAATTGACAAATCGGTGTTTACCGGAATGGATAGTTGTCCATCGACATTGACAAACAGAGGATTCAACTATGCCCTTACTCTTTCCCCTGTTTTCTCATCAATTGGAGTAAGGAAAATTTACAAGAAAAAACATATTTTTCTTCTACAAATTTTCTATTTTTTCTCAAGATTTCAAATACCCCACAAAATAAGAACGATCAATAAAATGATCGGAGCAGAAGGGAGTGGAAGACGTAGTTTTATTTGATGAATTATGGCAAGAACTTATAATTAACTTAAAAATAATACAAAATCAAAAGGGACTGACAGTGGGGATGGTGGCAGATTCAGCGGACATGAAGATGGAGGGGATCATAAAAAAGTCTTGTCGGGGTCTGTAGATATTTCACAAACAAACTCCAGTTGTCCACCGATAATTATATACAATAGACTGTCACTATATAAAATGCATACAAAATAGACTGTCACTATACAAAAATTTTACTAAACAGACTGTCACTATACAAAATAGATTGTCATTATACAAAAAATATATTAAATAGACTGTCACTATACAAAATATATACAAAAAAGGCTGCCACTATATAAAAATATACTAAATAGACCGTCACTATACAATTTATATATAATAGAGTGTCATTATATAAAATATATATAAAATACACTGTCACAATACAAAAATTATATAAAATAGACTGCTATTGTACAATTTATATACAATAGACTGTCACTATACAAAATATATACAAAATAGACTGTCACTATATAAAAAATATATAAAATAAATATTTCGGGCTATTAGATATAATATGTTTGGGTCGGAGGGACATTTCGGATCAATAGATAAAAATATGAGCTATTAAAATTTTGAGGGGGTATAGAGGGTCATTTTCTCACTTTTGTCTCTACATTTTCTTGGGCTTGTACTTTCAGGACTATGGAGCTAAGTCAAAATGATCAGAAAAGAAATTTTCGCACAGCTATGGGTGAAAAATAATCTCAAATATTAACACACTTTCCACACAATTACAAGCTTCTTTTATAATGCAATAAATCTTTTGAATCTTGACCAACTCAAACTTCGGCGAAAACTTCATTGGCAAACAAAGGTAATTGATTGACGGTTTTTGGTAGGTGTCTGTAATCCAATAAGATTTCACAATCGAAAAATAATGCCGGAAATACCTCTAGAGTACCACAAGCTCCTAAGTATGTCATTGTTTATGTTTCTGCATTGACTGCCTTATATTAATGTAGCTAAAGAAGTGAAAAGTAACCACTTGATTTAAATAACATGAGATAATAATAAGCTTTATGTAATGAAGGAAATATGAATCAAAAATGAAGGGCAAGAGAAAATTCTTAACTTTAATTTGTCTTAACAAGAATCTTTTGTTTTCTATTATTCCTATGTCCCAATTTATGTGTCATACTTTCCTTATAGCATATCTCATATTCTTCCTTATTAAGAAATAATTTAAATTAAATTTTATATTTTACCTTTAATAAAATGATTTATAGTCATACAAATATTTATGATATGTTTTAGAGACAAATTTCTACCATCTTTTTTTTTTTTTTAACTTTGTGTCCAACCAAGTGAATTGGGACAACAACAACATACTACAAGTGAGATTTAAGGAAGATAGTGTGTATATCTTGTACAGATAAAAAAAATTATTTTCGATAAATTCTGAGATAAAGACTAGCATAAAAGCCAAGTAAATTGGGACGATGGAGACTGGAGAGTATTATTTTCTCTCAATCCTAATTGACACCGAAATTGGAAAGAGGAAGATAATGGTTGTGGCTTTAAGGTACGGTATTCAGAGTAGTCCACTTCAATTCCTTGGTCGTGGTTGGCCTTGTGCAGTGTTTGCCTTCTGTCTTTTCCTCACTTTCTGAGCAAGCAAACGAACAAACATTTGATCCTTTTTCTTGGCAGTAACTGAGTGTGACCTTTTTACTCTTGCACAGCGTGCAATTTTTTTTTGCATATAACGGTGTGGGGCTATTGTCACACAATTCGATTTGTAAGCGAGTTATTTTGAGTTTAGGTATGTGATAATCGTAAAGTCGTAACTGTTATACCAAATTGTATATATGCATAATTATTTACCTAGAAGAATTTTGCGAAGCAGCGTGGAATAACACTTAATATAAGAACTGAATAGAAACCTCATTTTATAATCAACGCTTAGTAGACCAATCAAACCAAAAAAGTGCGTTGTATACGTAATGCTATAGCCTTTACATCATGAATTGCTAATTCTTTCTAGCCCAAATCACGAACACAATAGAGAATGGAACAAGAAAAACAAAATAAAAAAACATAACGTAGTTGAGTGGAAATGGTTAAGACTTAAGAGGATGGGGAAGATAGAAAAGCTGAAATAAGGCTGCTACCCTTGCTTGGGTTCAAAGTAGGCTCTACAACATTAATCATAAGAGGGGTGGGGGACTTTTTTTTATTGGTTAACTATCTGGTATAAAAAATTATTGATCCGAATAATCTAGATTTGTGTCGTGTATAATCTAATTAATAAAAAAGCGCTCTCTAAAATAGATTTTATTTTATTTTCAGAACTCGAACCCAAACTATCTGACTAAGATCGAAGAAAACTCATTTATCCCAACATAACCTTGCACGATCCTATTGATTTTTCACGAATGGGTTTGATTTTCTTCCAATGTAACAGTATAGGACGTACTGAAGTGCCTATAAAGTTTAATAAATACTCTCCCTACATGCTATAGTTTAAAAGGTGCAGTTTATAAGTAAAGTACAACAGCAGAGAGAGGAGGCAATATATGCGACTCTACTTTACAAAATGAAAAGCAAAAGGGAAGAATCAGAACTCAGAAGTGGGCACTGGGCAGGGGAAAAAAGCAGAGTTTTGTGGGGGTGGTGGTTGGATTTTAGCAGCTAGTCCTCGATTAAGTTAATAGTATGGTGCACCGACTGGAAATTGGAATCACCTCTTTTTTCCCCATAAGACAGAATAAGTATAAGCCACAATAATAATACTATTATATAGGCATATATAGAATCTAAGCAGTACTCCCATTATTGCTTTTTTCAATTTATGGAGACACGACTAACTTCCCTTTTGTTCCTGAAAGATAAAAACTCAATTGCCTTTACTATAATGGGACCCTTACATTTTTTTGCGCATGCGCCTCCCTCTATTGCTTTGTTCTCTAAGGACCTACCATATTACTTTTTGTTCTTCAAATGTTTCTCCACAAGTTTCTTTCCCTTTTGCAATTGTCTTATGTAGTTATGTGTATTTTTTTTTGATTGGGAGCATTCATTCTTTTAATGGACCTATTCCTATTCAATGCCATTACTTAGGATGAATTTTGAATGCCGAATGATTAAAGAAAACAAATGTGTATTATCCTATCTTTTTTTTCCGTCTTCTTTATTTTATTATTTTGCAAAAAAAATCTATTTTATATATTAATTAGTTGTTATAATGTGTCATTTTTTCCTTAAGTGTCTGCCTGATTTTAAGGATCATTAACATAATAGTCATATATAAGCGGAGAAGTACTACATATAGTAGGCCAATAGTATCAATGCTACTAGTCTACTACAAGTCTACAACCATA